CAACCAAACTACAGATTATTCATGTTTAAAGGTGCATTGTGTAGGATTTAGTGACATCTACTAGTGTTGTTGCAGATTACAACGTCCATGCTGCACCCTCCCATCACAAGAGTGTAGGAGAAACTACGGCTGTGAAATAAGTAAGAAACTTGAAAGGCCAGTGTTTGGTTTGTCAGTTCTGGGCTACTGTAGAAACATGGATTTTTAAAAGAAACAGCAACAGATATACAGAAAACCCTGTTTACCTTTTCCTCTTGATGCTCCCTGCATCTGAAGACAGAATGCTGTCTCCATCCTCGTCATCTCTCCTCAGGAGTTCCCTCTTTTTTGCCTATTCAAACATACGGATCAACAAACAATTACACTCACTGGGCTATTTCTGCAAGATGCTTCATGGTCTGTTTTAAAATGATAGCTAATTTCTTTCATTCTTGGCTTAACTAGAGTGAAAACATCCTCCAGCATAAACTGACATTAAAAAACAGCGCAGATGTCCTTACCTGCAAGATCTGCTGAAGCCTAAAGGCCCGTTTGTAAATGCTTGACATAGGCATGTTGTAGCGCTTTGCATTCTCAAACATCAGAGTAAGATCAGCCTCCATCTGTTCCACACTTTCATACTCGCCATTCTTCATCTTTGCCCTTAAAAATCAAAAAAAAAAAAGAACTTGAATTTCCATTTGAAACTGTTATTTGCTGGTAAAAAGGTGAATCTGTTGCACCTGTAGGTGTAACTAGTAAGAATAACAATCTGTCTCTTGACACGATAGCTGAATCTACTGAATGATCTTTCCTTACCTGATCTGCTGCAGAGCGATGGGCTGTTTGATCTGCTGATAATAGTCTGGATATTCCCTGCGAGAGGGCAGGTGCTGAAAAGGTTCTGAGAAGACCTGGCCCTGGTTGTTCCTGGCACCCCTCACAGCTTCATACAGCTGGAAGATCGGGTTGCTCATGTCCATACTAGAACTCTGACTCTCAGCCTCTGACTCCCCCTCGTCATAGCACACAGAGCCTGCAACATTTACATGGTAAACTGTTTTTTTTTTTTCAGCAAAAACACATGGCACATTTCTGTGCTGCCTAAAGCGCTGATACTAACCAGAGAGCACGGGGTCGTCCTCACTCTCTGAGCCATAGTGAAGAGCCACGCTGACACCAGAGAGTCGATCCCCCTGGCCTGACCTGCGATTTCTGTTGAACAGTAACGGCAAAAGACATACACCATGTAGACCTCCAAAGATGTTGTTTTCTATTAGGAAATAATTTACTGTATTTAAGGCAAAAAATAATACACTAATACTAAGCATATGTCATTTAATACCTGATACGAAGACTAGATTTAGTGGGTTCACCATGTTCAAGTTCAGTCTTTCGCTGGATGAAGACTTTCTTTATGGTGTTAGCATCCTACAAAATAAAAGGAACGGTTGTTAAGATTTTGGGTTGGGGGGGGGTTCATCTAATGAAAATAATTAAAATTAAAAAAAGAGTTTACCTTGAAAACCTGAGATCCTGGTTCATTGTACGTTTTGGCATTTTTGGCCATCAGGTCAATGTCCTTGGCCATAGCATTGACACTTTTATAGTATCCAATCTATGAAAATAAATTAATTAATTAAACTAGTGCTGGTTAAAATAAATCACAAAGTTATGAAATCTGTGAATTTTAAAAAGACTGCTTTGCACAACAAAGCAATCAAACAGTAAGGGAAGTGTCTACCTGTATTCTTTGAGCGATCGTTCTCAGATCTATTGGCTCCTTTATAATGGCATAGTAGTCTGGATAATGCTAGGAAAGACAAACAGGTCTGTAAATGTCAAGAACGTGAAAAATTTTGAGGGCACCATTTGAAGTCCAAAGACTCTTCAAGAACTCACTCACCACTTTGGAAGGCAATTTCTGGAACAGTTCACTGACCAGGCGCCCTGAGGGATCAGCGTGTGACACCACAGCCTCCAAGAGTTGCTCCAACACCTCCTTCAAACTGCCAGTTGAGGTCTAAAGGGTAAATATGAATAAATGATTTCTTCTGTAGCTTTATTCAAAAACACATGCGACATTTAAAGAGATTGATAATACATGTTTAATTCTGTAAAAATACAAGAATCTTTTTTTATGTTATACAAATAAGTGAATCTCATAAGTGACAATCAAACAAGCAGGCAAGGCAATTTACCTCATCTTCAGTTGACATTCCTGGATTATCCATCATATCATCACCATCTTCATCATCCTCATCTCCATCACCAGGTTGCACAAACTCCGTCCTTGTTTGCAAGTATACCTCCCACAGCCTGGATGCAGCTTGATATTCCTCACTGTCACTCTGAATGGTTGACCATGAAAAGGAAAATAGAACTGTTAGAATATAGAGGCCACAAATTAAACTACAAATATTGAAAATATGGCATCACAAAATAATTTTGCTATTACACCAAATTACAGTTAGAGAAATACTGTACCAGTACGTCTCTCCTTACCTTGTAGAATGATTTGGCATTGTTGAACATGAGCTGAAAATCTGCAGTAAGCTGCTCCACATCAGTATAATCTTCTGACTTCAATTTATACTGAATTTTTGTCATATCAATTGGCTGAGACACGACTTCATAATAATCAGGCTGGTTCCTGAAAAAGAACAAGAGACCAGACATCACTGTAATCTCCTTATGTCTGAATGAGCTGCCCAGCAAAACCCACCCACCAGTCACACTAATAAATCTCAATATGACATGTGAAGTTTATGACGCTGGAAGCGCACAAAGTTTGCAGCACCGGCAGTTTTGAGCTTTACTCTGTGTTTTATGTTACAGTACCTTCTCTTTGGTACCCTTAGGAAGACCTCACATAGTTGCCTCCCTTGTTCATCCTTGTGGTCCCTGACAGCGTTGAACAACTCATGGCATACAGCGATCTGGAGGGAACAGGTAATCAAATTACCAATACCTGCGTATTTACTAATGCACACATATAAAGTAAGAGCACACATGTCGTTGTTATCAGATCGACTAGAACACAACGTTACAAACTCTAATGCACATAAGCCCTACAATGCATTAAGTGCATTTACCGTATCTACATGAGGAACACTGGAGATTCTTCTTCTTTTTCTGCCACTTCCAGGAGTCAAGGAGGAGGTATCATCGAGGTCACCCCCTCCACTCACACTGCTGGAGGGTGAAGTGGCTCTTCTTCTCTTGGAGCTCGCTGACATCGCTGGTTGGTTTAACAACAGGCTAGCCCGCTAGCTAGAAAAACACCAAAAAGATGTACGGTTTGCTGTGGTTTGGGTACGATTAACACGCGATTCACTAAAGTTAAAAGTAAACATCGCTCATCCATCACGCAATTCACTATAAAGCAAACAACAAGAGCAAACTCAACCGGCTAGCATTAGCTTAGCTTGAATGTATGAAACAAAGCAATCTGACGAGCGGCTGTTAGCATGTTGTCCTAGCTGAATTTCCGCTTTCCTAACAATGCAGCCAAACTAAATACTTATATTTCATTTACCGATAAACACATGCGAGCTGGGAATAATAAGTAAAGCAATACATTGGCTTTCAAAAACAAATCTTACCCAAAACGCAGCAAAGTTTGCTGTAAGTTAGTTCCCTGAGCACAAATATGTAACGGCTAGCTAGTGTTGTTTGAAAACGCCTGCCCGGAAGTTGATGTTGTGTAGCTGAGAAAAAGCGCCGCCTGAGGTAGTGCTGCCCCCTTCAGTCTGCGAGCAGTAATGCACCCAATAGTACGTGCCAGCAACATTAGATACACCACAAACTATATAATAGTTTATAGATATAAGCATATAAATGAAATGTAAAAACGCAGAAATTGCCATTTTCATTACAACAATGCTTTTTTAATTTATGAATTAATTTATGTCTTTTTTTTGTCCTTTATATGAGTTTGCTGAGGCAGAATAACAACAATAATAAAAACATTAAGTTATGTAGCGCCATCAAAAACAAGTTTTAGAGTGTGTGGGTCACTACCTCAAACGTTTAAGTGCTTTACAGACATATGATGATATATGTGATTAAATATATAGTTCACAAGAAAAAAAATATGTACGAAAATAAATAATTAAAAGAAATACAAAAATGTTTTATTAGACATTTAAAAAAAAAAGCTTTCATAGAGTTTTAAAAGTGGACAAGTATTGTACAGGTCTCTCGGGCATTTAAAGAATGTAAAGACAAAAAAGGGAGACATTTTATCAATTATTAGTATGCATGTATATTTAGGCCTATGCACTTCTTCATTAAGTTGGTGTGTGGATAAATCTGTAGTTAGTGTCTGTTGTTTATCAGTATAATTTATTTTATGTTGAATGGGAGGATTTTGGAGAGTGGGACAGGGGTTGGATGGTTTGGGGATGGGGCAGTAAAGGATCTGTTTACAGCAGGATATAATACTACAATCATTCATGTTCAAGTTAACCATATCAACCTGAAAATGCCCCAGCAAAAACACTACATAAATTAATAAATAAAGGAGAAACATCAATATTCACATTAAAATAAGGTTCTCCATCAGGAGCACCTTCCAGTGTGTTGAAACACACATATCCCAGCAATAAATACTTTGAGCTGATCGCCAGAGAGGTGGTGAATACACTTTTTTTGTTGTTTGTCCATACCCTGTAATCTGTGACAGCCAGCGTCCAGGTGGACTTTGGGAAGGGTCCCGTGAGTGTGACAGTGTTGATGCTCTGAGAGAGAGAGAGTGAAGCAGGGCGTTGCCTCAAGATTCATGGAAAATCAGAGCTTTAATTACCTGCATGTGTACATTAGGCCTTTTTGTCTAAAGCGCACTAGTCCTCCCTCTCCTTCTGCAGCACATATTCTGTACAAACCTAAACACTTTCATTTTATGCAGGTCGCTTGTGTGTGCCATGTCAGTGCTGTATGATAAATTATTCACAGTGACACGTTATGCCTGTTTTTGAAAGGCTCTAAAACAGTCTTGCATACCCTGCGCACAGCATGCAAAAAAAGGGCAACTGCGCCTCGAGAAGCTCGCAGAAAATAACAAGCAGATGCACACAAAATCTGTTCACATGTAACAGACGGTGGCTCGACTATCATAAGGTGAATCGCAGATCACGTTGTTAAGAGAACAGTGAGTGATTTTATGCTGCACTACGTCCACAGACGTCTGGTTTTCTTGACGTCAGGAGAAGTCTGAGCGGACCCAGCGCTGCGCACAAGCAGCACAGCAACCACATCGCTCCCAGAGGGAAGGAGAACACATCACAGCTACATATCGCCATTTAGGTATGTGTTGTTGCTTGTTTGTTTTTTCCAGTTATATATTCACCGAAATGCATCATCAATCGTAGTTAGTTTGTCTTTGGGCATGTATAACTTGTAAAAGCTTTTGGTGCGTGCCCGTGTCGCATGTCTGCAGCCTCCTGATTTAACCCAAAGATGCTGCCTTCCTTTGACTGCCGTACCCTTGAGCGCTGCAGTAGCCTACGGTTCGCACACCCACACCGTCTTTTCTTCCGTTAAGCAGACACATGCATGATCAATCAACACGCAAAGTCGGACTCGTGTCAGTGTTGCAGACATATTGCACCGGCAAATGTTTTTAATTTCCATTCAGCTGCTTGTCATTCACGCCCTGCAGCCCTTAATGCAGGTTATCAAATGTTGCTCAGTGGAATACATGTTTCTGATTGACCAGAGCTTCTTGTTTTTGTAGATTTTTTAAATGTATTTATTTTTATTCAGAGCAACCTAATTGTTTAAAGCTTCAGATGTTAAATATAGCACAGGTCCCCCCCAGCTGGTATCTGCCTCTACTGACCATGCGTTGGTCTTTTGAGACGGTAGGCTACATGGTCCCTTTTTTGCGACTGCCTCTGCTGCACTGTTTGCCCTACTTTCAAGCTGTTATTTGTTGCTATTTATTGTGGTCTGGACGGTTCTCAGAAAAGAAGTCTGTTGTGGCTTCTTAGGGCAATAGTCATATCTTCTTGTCAGTGCGCACATTTATTTTGGTTTTGATCTATTTTCGTGTTAGTGCGTTTGTTCTCATTTGTTATTTTATAAGAGCTTTCTTTTTAATTTATCCTGTCTAATGAAATAAAGAATAACGCAAGAGAAAAAAGATTGTAAAACTAAGAGACTGCAGTGTAGGTCAGGCCCACAGCACAAGTGGGCTTTTACTTTGATTGGACTTTTTCAGCTTATTATCAGTTATCATGCACACTAACTTGACCTCCTGTCATCCATAACAATCAAACCTAAAGGTCTTAAAAAATGCAAGCAAGAGCTGCAAAAACCAGAACGCTTAATCAGGAAAATCAATTGTTTATTTAATGGCTGAGGGCTTTATGTAACAATCACACCAGTCAGCCAAACTGTAATGGACATATTGAACTGATGCAGAGGCAGAATATCTTTCACAGTCTTACTCCTAATTGACTCCATTAAATAGTGCAAGAGTGCCCATTGATTGCTGTGTAATATTTCAAGTCTATTATCTGTCTATTATTTCCCCACTGTGTGCTGGAATGATGTTTATAATAGAGATAACATCAGAATGTGGTTAAAAACCCAAAATACATGATACAAAACCGTGTTGCCTTTGAGGGAAATTAAATATTAAACACTTATTTTAATTAAAAGTGACTGCATGGTCCAATCACTATGGTTTAGCACAATCACCCTGATCAAAGATGTATTTAGGTTTGATTACACATGGGGTGGGTCAACACCGAACTGTCCAGTCTTTTCATTTTATTCTGTTCTTTTTGCCCCGTAGCTGTAGTGTGGCGAATCCGATCAGCGTTGTAGGATGCCTCTTGGAGAGGATGGAAATGGATGGAAAAAGAAGACATCAGACATCAAAGAACATTATGACTTCAAAGAAGTGCTGGGAACGTAAGTTGCACTGATAGTTTAATGCTGTTGTCGAGGCATGGCTGTATTACAAACGGGTAAAGAGGTCACCTGCACCAGTGGCCCCAGACCCTCAAGGGTCCTGAACACCTTTCCTTGTGTCAGTTGGTACATTAAATAACTTTATTCAGGGAAGGTGTAATGCTCTTCAATTGTTAAAATATAATTTTAGCTCCATAACCTCCAAATTTGTGTCTCAAAGCCTTGGAAAATTAATCTAAAACAATCTGCATATGTTTTAGTGGGATTTGGATGAGCTGACCCTTAAATGTGCATTAGTCTAGATGTCTTATGTTAAGGCGGTGCCCTTTGTCAAATCTATTCTTTATTATCAGAGATATTTTAAATCAAATTACCACAAAAACAACTGACAGACAGCAAGCATGAAGACAGGTTGCTCCAACAAACTATCTCTGGTTGGATTCCAAAGTTTGAGGCAAAATATAATGAAGCTTGTGTAGCAGCCAAATAATGTAATAACTACAGTTTATGTAATTCTGTGTTGTAATTGAAGGGTACTTGCAGGTAACACACACAATTTACAGAGAGTTGGACAAATCAAGTGGTCAAAAGGCACCCACAACTCATTTTACCCCCATCTGTCCATGCTGTCTGGGCTGCAATATTTCAGTCTTGACGCTGAAGTCTCTCAAGACTGACATTTTGGACGTGCCTGTCACTTATGCCTATTTTGACTCAGACTTGTCTTGTTCTTGGCCGCCGTTTGATGCTGACTCAACTATTTCCAGTCTCCTGAAAGTATTCAAAAAGCATACAGAGCAGCAGCAAAGTATTCTGTGCAGCACAAAAACATTTTAAATAGACTGCAGCTTGGTTTTTATGTATTGACTAGTCAGTCAATCGCAGTCAACAGAATATATACAAATAAAAACATTGAAAATGAAACTAGTTTTGGGAGCAGCTTTCATTTTTCCAAGCTGGTCTTTATTACAGCCACGCTGCAATTTTTTTGTTATTGAGCATCATTGTCAGTTATTCTTCCTGTCTTGGACATTACATCAGTGTTTGTGCAAATGAGTAACTTCATATTTCTTTGCATTTAACATTTAACACTAATTAATGTAAGGAAAACAATATGACTTAGACAGCTGAGGACTTTATATTAGCCATTCAACAAAATTATCTATAGTGTGTAGCACCAATCACTGATCTAAGCCAATCCTGGCAATCCAGTGTAGATACTGTAATGTGCATAATGTGCAGTGCACATGGATGATTTCACAGAGGTGATGATATGTAGGCAGTCTGGCCTTCATGTTAGCTCTTAATTGGTTTTCTGTTTGTGAGGAGAGTGGGTCCAGAATGGATGCAAGGTCATGTTTCATCCAGCCACTTTCCCTGAAACTAAATTCTAACTAAATTGAGTGGTTCTTTCTTACTGCCCACGACTTATATTACTTAGTAATTACTATACAAAACCCAATGAAACCTGTAATTTTTTAATAATCGTCTATCTCTGAATGTGTCCTTCTTCTGCTCATATGATTGACTGGAGGGATGTGAGAGACTGTGGAACAGGTTACGAATATGTACGCCTCTTAATTTCTTAATCAAGAGCACACATGTTATTTTTAACATAAAAGGAAAGATCACATAAACTCGTACCTGCAGCTGCTTCCTACGATTTGTCAGAAAAACTTTTTAAGCTCAAGTTCAACTCACCTACGTGTGTGATGTGGTCTGGTTTGCACCTGTATTTCCCATTGCCCTTACATTGACCCTGATTACATTTAGTTACTGCTGCACAGTCTGGAATCAAACAGATTATATTTACGTTGTGACTTAAATACACCTTCATTTTGCAATAAACTGCAAAATTAATCTTCAACCAGCGGGGTAAAGGTTGCCATGCAGTCAGTAATGGTGAGGGCTGGACTTACACAGACCTGTGACTGCACTCTCCGGGGGGGACAGGACTGAGCCCAGATGGTCTGGCGGCTTCTCTCCACCCCCCCAAACTAAGTACAAGTGACCTAGCACACGTCCACCTGTGATGACACGAATGTGCCATATGGAGTGTGGTTGTTTTCTTTCTTCTTGGAATCGCACCTGCTTCCCCAGAGAGGCCGCACAGAATCAGATTTTAATGACTGCGCAACTCTGGTTCACATCCAAAAAAGTGAAATATCAGTGGGAAGATGATGAGGCTGTCTGGTTATGTCGAGAGCTGTAGGAGGACATCAAATACGACTCTATCAGTCTGTGTCTCTGGGTTGTGCATGCTGTATGAAATGCACTTTGACTAGCAGATTGTATATTTGAGAATTCATGACTGCTGCTTAACGCTGATAACTTCTGTTATGATTCCGGAAGACTTGCAGGAACTTAAAACAGTGATTGTAATTTGAAATATGATATTAAGGGTTATGCAACAAGGATTGAAAAAGTGAATTGCCAGGATACCATGTTCTCATATTTTCAGAAAAAAATGTGAAAGAAGCTGTAGTAATATTCTTTCCCTCCTGTCACTGTAGCTGGACCTGGCAGAGGGCAGAATTAATGTGTTGACGGAAAGCTCCTTATGCTGGGAGAGAAGATTACAGAGGAGCTTTATCCAGGAATTCAGTGTGTGAAGTTAATTGATTTATGTTGAAATATTATATTCAGATCCAGTTAATCCTCACAGTTCTACCTCTGTTTGGAGTCCACTTCAGGACAAGCTGTCCTCGAGGTTGCAGGTTAGCAGATGAAAAAATCCTCCATCCCCCAAACCAGGTCTGTCACAGTTTGGTTGCACATGTTTTGACTTTTCTGTAGTCATTCACATAAACACTTTTCTCCTTTAACAGTGTAAAAATGTAGAGCATCTCACTACTGTAGTTGTTCAGGGTTATTGTTGTAATCAATGTAATCACTAGATGTGTAAGACTCTAACCTCTATAAACTCTGTCTTTCATCAGTGTTGACATCAGGAATGTCTTTTTCTTTTGTAGTTTGATTAAATGTCCCATGAATTACTTATTGATCTAGCTGATAGATATTTATCTGTTGAGGATGTTAGGCGAGACTAAGGAGTACTAATTTTGATGCATGAACATAAGATCAGTTACGAGTCCTGTGGAAAGATATTTCCCTGCAAGCTGGCAGCTTATCTGGCAGAAATGAAGAACATGGGGCCAGTTAACAAAATAATTTCAGACCACAACACAGCAATAAAAACTGTTCTAAACATCCACAGTAGAGTACTTCTTAAACGTATTGTTGACGCTCACTTGTCCTTTCAGATCTATCCATCATAGCACCAAACAGCATAGTTAAATGATACATTCATGATACAAACCTGCAAAGAGCCACAGAATTTGGTGTTGATTCTCAGTGGGAGCAGCAGTATGAGCACCTTTTTCATAATACATTAATTGATTTACTATTAAAATAGGCTACATGTTGCCTAATTGAGCATTAACATCAGGAGGGACATCTAACAAAGACATATGAAACAATTTCAACTTTGCTTTAGAAATTACATAATTAATCGAATGACATTCAATGACTCCTTCATGTTGATGACGAGTGTCATGTCATGATTATGATGGTGTCAAGTCAGTCCTATGCACAACCCTTCAAATAATGTGTTACCGAAGTAAGATATATGAGACAGGCCAGTTTTAAGAATTACTTGTACAGTCCTGGTGGATAATGTGTAGGAGTATAAACATTGTGACTACGCAGTACTAAACACTGTTGGAAAGCACGGTTTATTTATAGAGAAGAGCAGAGCAGTTAAGAGGTTTGACCTACACATGACTTTAGTAGAGTAGATGGAAAATATACAGTTGTACAATTGTTAGTGAATGGTCCAGTCTCAAGCTTTTTTTGATATGAATATATAACATTATAATGATGCCAATGTAAGAATGAATCTGGAGATTGTTTGGGATTTGGGTTTGTACTGTATGTCCGCACTTATTCTCTTTCTGTCTTTGTCAAACACACACACACACACACACACACACACACACACACACACACACACACACACACACACACACACACACACACACACACACACACACACACACACACACACACACACACACACACACACACACACTGACAAGCACACACACAAAATGGATTAAACTAAAAGAGAAAGCTTTTTCGGGACTTGGAGGCATGTTGGACTTGAAGGGAGTGCTTCCATCAGGTGAGATCAATAGACTGATGGAAGCTTGTAGCTTCCATCAGTGACGCAAGGGAGGTTGCAATCTGCAACTACACCACTAGATGTCACTAAATCCAGGACCTGAACATAAAAAATGTTTTCCATTGCAGCAAACATCCATCATTTTGAGTGCAGTGTGCTTTAGTTATTGTGTCCAGTCCAGTTGCAGTAAAAACAAGATGCAACAGCTATGTAATAGACAATAAAAATGTAACTTAAGGCTTGACTTGGAGCGAGTAGATGAGCTAATTGAAAACAGACAACATATTTCAGTAGTTAGTCACAGTCTACACCCACTTCATGAAGTAGATATCTATGCCCATTATCGGTTCAGGTCATTTGCCACTCAAAAAATATTTTGGAATGTATGCTTTTGTGATGCTACAATGTATTCTTTTTTACATAGTTGATTGCCTCTTATTGGACTGCAACCAATTTACACTCTATTTAAGACATTTATATTGAAGCAGCTATCTAGTATCCTTTTGCAAAATAGATATATATAGATAGAACACAGATAGATAGAAACGGCTCATTCTAAGGTCACGAAAACATAAAAATTCTTATATTCAGATGATTATACACTTATGAAAACCTTCATATATTATTATATTCTATTTCTACCAATAGATGTTTGTAAGTGTTGACCTTAAACCGATTTGCAAATAGCTGCTGCTCAATCCTGGACCTCTTGAGTATGTCTCTGCACATTACATTGCAGTTTAAAAACAATCAATCATGTTAAAATGATACTGATAAATTGTCAGGAGAAAGACATGGAAGACCGCAATAAGAGCACACTTATCATAGTGAAAGCACTGTGAGACACTGACAGCGATATGAGAATGTGTGAATCAATATTTTCCCATATGGACAGCTGGGATTACAGTGTCTTCAACAACTTGTGTGTGTGCGTGTATGTGTGTGTGAGAGAGAGAGACAGAGACCCATGCTGTGGTGTTCATGTGGTGTTACGGCTTTGGGGCAGACACCATCACACCGCTACAGATGCATGATTACTAGACATAGGTCTTTTATATCATGCTCTATCTATCTATCTATCTATCTATCTATCTATCTATCTATCTATCTATCTATCTATCTATCTATCTATCTATCTATCTATCTATCTATCTATCTATCTATCTTATGGAGGTTTAGTTTATCTGTAAAAATGTCTAAAAATATACTGTTCGTGTACACAAAAACGGCCACGCATCAGCTATGAGTCTTGAGACCAATGACTCATATGAAACTTATTTATTTCAATGTGCAGCAAGTTAAAGTGCATGCCAGGATTATTTATTGGCATAAAATAGATAAAATGATGTGTCAAGATTTCCGTGGTCTGTTGCTAACTGCTGTTGGAATAAAGAAACAGTGTTTTATTTAGAGACTGAAAAAAACTGAACTCTACAATGCTGGAAAATAACATAAACCTTTCTTCTGTCTCATTTTACTCCTCTCTAACGATGAGTGACTTACACATTGGCTCACAACTCTCATCAGTTCAGAATAACAGCTACAGTAGCTTCCTCTCTTCCACTGTCAGCTGTTCCTTTTCCCAAACCCCCTGAGAGCCCACCCCTACTATGTCTCCAAGTAGAAATTAGCAACTGGATGGTTAATTACAATGTGTCTCACGGCAACAGTAGAAAAGCGTGCATGCAAGCTCTTTTTTGTTTTGGGAGCAGTGTACATAAAGTATGGATTACGTTCCATACATTAGTCAAAATTTGTCATATTAGTCCATTAATTGAATAGTCGATGGATAAAAAAACTTCTTAATTGTGAGAATTTGTTGTTTTTCTTTGTTTTCTATTGTTGTAAACTGAATATCATTTGAAGACCCCACCTTGGGTTCTGAGAAAAACAGTGACATTGTGGCATTTTCCTCACTATTTTCTATTAAATTAGAAAATTATTTCTAGAAAACGATTTAAATAATCATTAGTTGCAGGCAAAGCACTTTCTCCATGCATGGCCAGAAACGGAACTATTCTCATTAGTAAAAATGTCCATCTGATTCCTACTATAAATTCACATGCCAGTGAATTTAGGGCCTATCTCACTGTCTTGGCCCATTGACCCTTCTATTTGAAACAGCCAATAACACTAAATAGATTATTACCCACGATAATAGAAGTTAAACGTTCTTGACCCTATGAAGAAACCCTGAATATAAATGCTGCAGACTTAAACACATTAAAATCCTTTTATGGGTCGATGAGGATTGGAGCTTTATGAGATTTCGCTTTGAGATTATTTTAAGGACTTTTTAAAAATGAAACCAGAGATGTGTGTGAGAGAATGGTCTCTCCTGGTGTGCATCAGCTTCACTATGCAAAGGTTTCTGCTGTGCCATGGTACAAAGCATCTCAAGGATTAACACGGATCCACACTGAGCATTTATGATACACAAAAGTGCACATTGGGAGGTGGTGTTCTGAGAGACGGTCAGGTTGCACAATAACTCTGCTCTGCTCTGCAATTAGCTGTTAATAACCATTAAAAGCAGAATAAACAGAAAGTGAGAGATGTTTGCCTCCTTATCACATGGTTGCTGTTGGCAACAGCACGGTGAAGTCTGCATCCTTTTATATAAGGTTTCAGACTTAAATGAAGTTAGGAGTGAGAACTCCTCACATGCTCCACAGTATGACAGATGGAAAAAGGAGAGACTATTTGCTAAAGCATGAACATTGGACTTCCATTGTGTATTGCATGACAGCGCTGTTTCTCACACATGTAAAGGATCCCTGTGGTTGCTAACAATGTTCGTGCATTCAGGCCTCCTCCTGAGCTCCCTCCCACGCTCCTGTAGGGAGACTGTGTAAATACACACTATTCTCCCTCTCACCATCGCCGTAATCCATAATGCAGTCTAGTCTCCCTCAGAAACAACCACACTACATTTACTCTATCTATTTTTTAAAAGCAACTGATATTACTATAAATGTCTATATGTGACTGTTGCTTCACCTCACCTCCTGAGCCTTTTCTCAGGCCCCAAAACGTCTCGGTAATGTCACCATTTTGAATTATTCATCTAAACACCACTCACACACACACACACGCACACAGATGACTGAATGGAGGATATTTTGAGATCTTTTTTAAAAGCTCTGGTGTTGTGTTTAGTCAATGCCACATACATATCTAATGACTGGACTTTATTTAGTGTCGGAGTCAAACAAAAGCACACATTTGTGGTAAAAAGATATCAAGATAAATTAAAAAAGGATTTGCATGAAAAGCTCTGAATATTCTCTCTCCTTGGTACACTTTCACCATCGCCTGTAGCTTAAGAAGAACGACTCCTACTTTAGCTTTCCGATCTTGTCCATTTCACCCCACACTCCCACACATTTCTCTTTCTTTCTCTAATGTGTGCATTTATGTGTGTATGTGTTTTTCACTGCCTCTGTTTTTAGGGGAGCTTTCTCAGAGGTGGTTCTAGCAGAGGAGAAGAGGACCCAGAGGTTGGTGGCCATCAAGTGCATCCCCAAGAAAGCGTTGGAAGGCAAAGAGAACAACATTGAAAATGAGATTGCAGTACTACACAGGTGAGGTCAAGGTCTTCACGATGTATCAGCTGATGTTTTGTGTCCAGCAGGAGGAATTAGTCAGTGCAGCCTCTACAACAGTGCATGTACGGATGCAGAATATATGCAAGGGGTCAATTGAATGTGTGACTAAATGCATGGTGTCAGTAGAAACAGTAGGATTGTGCACCAGAAATGTCAGGAGTAAAGAAGATAGACCTATTTTTAGTGTCCCTGTTGCCAGGGCAACAGCACACAGAGGCGGAGATGGTGTGGAGTTCCCCGCAGCAGTGTATTGAAGAAAGAGAAAGAGACATAGAGGGTGGAGAACTGGAGAGGGGGGTAGGGTCTGACAGAAGGAGAAATATATATGGAAGAATGGGAGGAGTGGAGTTTGGCTAAATACCTAAGTCACCATTAAGTAAATAAGACAGACATGACAGCAAGAGACAGGAAGAAAATAAAAAAAATCTGAAAAACACACAATGGGATTATATTTCGACTAAAATTCACATGAGCTCCTCTCATCTGCTGATGTGTTATAGCAATGGTGTGTTCATATGCTCTCAACTGTACTTGAGAGCCAAGAGAGATGCTTGACTGTCTGTTGGCTGGTTCATAACAATAAACGGCGCAGTTCTGTTTTTGTGTGTGAGAATAGCTGTGCTCTAAACTGTGCTTTGTTAAAGGTCTCAGCTACAGACAGTGCTCATTGTCTTTCCTAGCAAGTGATAGTTATCGTATCTAATGCTTTTCTGTGAAAGATCTGAGAGGCTTTCCAGTTTGTATTTTAGGGCAAACACATAGGTTTGATCCCAGTTTACTGTAGGGCTTTCCACAGAAAAGAGAGGGCAGATCGATCAAAATTGGAATTATGCAGCAAGAATGCCATCTGGTGACCAACTGACAGTAACCATTAGAGAAACGTATTCAATCTGATCATTTCTGTCTGTCTGTTTATCTTCTTCAGAATCAAGCACCCCAACATTGTTTCACTGGAGGACATCTTTGAAAGTACATCCCATCTATATCTTGTCATGCAGCTGTGAGTTATTCTTCCTCGTTACCTTACACAAGGGCCAATTATATGATGGAACATTACACTGGTACATTTTTGTTGATTTACAGAAAATTAATCTGCAATTTATGAAGCAAAAATACAAAACATTCTCAGGTTCAGTGTATCAAATGGGACTATTTGCTGGTTTTCGTAACATCATTGTAAATATATTTGGGTTTTGCACAAAAAAAACCACATTTAATTTTATTTCCATTAAAATGTTGTGTTCCCTCAAATAGCTTTCAGGATGTTAAATAATCTTAGTCCAAATTCTAGTGTCTGTTTATAGTCATATCACATATGTATCACATATAATCTGTAACAACTAAAATACTCAAGACTGTTCTTATAGCTGCACCAAATATTCTACATGTCCTTTGTATGATTTTAACTTTTCTATCTAGACTTGATCTTGAACAGTATTTGGCTGCACCGGATGAGTTTTTGTAATGACTGGCCCGGAAGAAGAAGTTGCTTTTTAAGGGTTTTAACTAAAGGATTAATTGACTAATTAAAAAACAAATCCTTAGTTGCAGCCCGAATTCAACCCTAAACCTCTAATATTTTATGTCTTCAGTAAAGGTACAGGACTATTTAGCTGGTTTCCCTGATTTTCACCTGGCAGGGTATCTGGAGGTGAGTTGTTTGACAGGATTGTGGAGAAAGGTTTCTACACAGAGAGAGATGCCAGCCAGCTCATCCACCAGATCTTGGATGCAGTCAAATATCTCCATGACATGGGGATCGTCCACAGAGACTTGAAGGTATCATTGCTCAGGGAATGCAGAAATGTAACAGTTGGCCCCATTTGCAACCCCTCCTCTTTGATCCTTCTTCTTGTCTTTGCAGCCAGAGAATCTGCTGTATTACAGCATGGACGAAGACTCCAAAATTATGATCAGTGACTTTGGACTGTCAAAGATTGAGGGAGCGGGCAGTGTCATGTCCACAGCCTGTGGTACTCCTGGATATGTGGGTAAGGTATTTATTTCTGTGGTCAACCAGACTCTCCTCCCCTCCCCCTCTCTTTCATGTGAGCTCAGCACTTGCTGTTTCAGCTGATATCCCCTCTTTATTCATTGCATTGTGAGAGGCTCTTTCATCCACTACGGAGTCAATTGCAAGTGTTTCAGAAGTGCTCTCTAACTGTTTAATGTGACCTACCAGATCACACGGTTTTACTGAAAGGTCGAGATTACTTGAATTCAACCTCACTGCTGCTCTGTTGTACATTTTCCACTCTTCCTGAATGTCTGCTGTGTGTGTGTGTGTGTGTGTGTGTGTGTGTGTGTGTGTGTGTGTGTGTGTGTTTCACAGCTCCAGAGGTACTTGCTCAGAAGCCGTACAGCAAAGCAGTGGACTGCTGGTCCATAGGAGTTATTTCTTACATTCTGTAAGTCTGAGCTCATTCATCACTGAGAAGTATATAAAGTGATTGTTTTGTAGTACTGAATATGATCCAATATCGTTCCCTCAGGTTATGTGGATATCCTCCGTTTTATGATGAAAATGATGCCAAGTTATTTGAGCAGATTCTGAAAGCAGAGTATGAATTTGACTCTCCATACTGGGATGACATCTCAGACTCAGGTACTACTAATTTCTAAAAATAGCCACAGCAGATCCAGCAGAAAATCAGAGTGGACCTTATTATAACATGAACTTCAATTTTGTTTGCAGCCAAAGACTTCATCTGTCACTTGATGGAGAAAGAGCCTTTGAAGAGGTACACATGTGAGCAGGCCCTCCAGCATCCATGGTAAGAGAGTCAAATTTTCTCATTCTCATCTCTTTTTATTTCAATTTCAATTGAACTGAAATTAACCACCAACAATTTTGATAATGGATTATTTTTTTAAGACATTTATCAAGCAAAAGTGGCGAACATACACCAGCATCATGTGATGTTTGGGAGTTAGACTGTTGGTCAACCAGAACAAGCTGCTACCAGTTTTCACATTTAGGAAACTGGATAATGTTTGGCATTTTTCCTTGAAAAATATATTGACCTTCTAATCAACAAATATACAATGCATAAGCCCCAGTAAGGTGCCTCAGCTGCCCAAGTTCTCTCATTCTTGTTGACTTTGCAGGATCTGTGGAGACACAGCTCTGGACAAGAATATCCATGAATCTGTCAGCGCTCAAATCAAGAAGAACTTTGCCAAAAGTAAATGGAAGGTCAGTGTCTTGGCTGAATCATGGAACAACCTGCTGAAAGAGCAGTATTAAGATTGGCAGGAGATAGAGCACATTTTGTACGACTTTGCTGTTTTTCTCCCTCAGTAGCTGTCAGACACAGAGGGTTATTCCTTCCTCTCTCTCTCTTTCTGTCCATGTAGCAAGCATTTAATGCCACAGCGGTAGTGCGCCACATGCGGAAGTTGCAGCTGGGCACTAGTCTTGAGGGACCCAGTCAGATTACTCCCACCAGTCCCTGCCATGGACATCTGCTCCCAGAGGAAGAGGAGGAGGAGGAGGATGATTTGGGCAATGGGGAGGAGGAGAGCCGTAAGTTATCAGTTGAATGAACAGACATTTTCTTCCAGAGCTTCTCTTCACTGACAAGAATTATGCCAAAGTCGGTAGTTCAACGTAATTCAATACAAATTGAATGACTATAGTGCGATCATCCAACTGTCATGTGTTGTCCGTTGACGTAAATGCTCACAAGTAATGGGAATCTTCGCATCTCTACCATCTATCCCATATGATGTGAATGCAGCATTAGGAAGAGGAGGACGCCTGGTTAGGTTGCTCTAGGACAAATGTATAGAAGGCAGAAAAGGAGGATCAGCCTCAGGCATTATCATCCTTCAGACAGTAGGTAGAGAAGGGATGGGGGCGGTATGCATGGGACTGAATGGAAGTGGCGAGTAGACGAAGGCAAGGGAATGGAGTTCAGGAAACCAAGACAAACAGGAGAGGAAGTGTCAACTATGAATACTGTAAGTAGGCTTGACAGATGATTAGAGGTGTAGCTGAGGCATGACGTTGCTCCTTAACAAGTTAACTTGTTAAAGGAACATTCTAGTGTTTTTAAACCTAGATCTTATTCTCATAAATGTGGCAGTTCTAACTTTTTTACAAAAAATAATTTTAAACGAATTTGACTCAGAGCAAACAGAAATTAGCACACGGGATTAGCTATTTTTGGTAACTTCATACTTACTTTGGGTAGTTGGCTAACCAGGCTAGCTGTATGATTATTATTTATCCCTTTATATTTTACTTAAACAGAGGTTAACAGATATTATAGAAATGTCCTGAAAGGGTTTGATGGTTTGTGGCACTGGCTATAAGCTAATGCTATTTGGGGAACCTTGGCGTGGAACAGTTTGGGAACCTCTGGCTTTGCATATAGCTGATTTTGGGGAGGTAAAAATACATTTCTAACTCAACAATGTTGTGAATTTGTTGTTTGGGACTGCATTTGTGGACACTCAGGATCGGCCTCAAAGAAGTCCACTGTGCAGCCAGCAATTGCACTTCTTCTCTCGAATTTCCTCAGAAGACAAAATCTTCTCTGACTTGCTACTACTTCTCTAGAATGTACACACACTAAATTGGCATCAACCCGCAGCCTCGCACTTGTAAACAAACCAGTGTTTGCAGATGAACAGGCAGCTGTTTGGTTTGGCGGCTGGTTGCCCCAGAAGTAGATCTTCCCTATCCCCAATTAGAAACAGTATCTAATATGTTTACTTGTGGTTAGACTCTGATTTTGACAAGCATTTGAAATTAAGTTAATTTAAGTGTTAATTATAAAGTTTATTTTGAAAAGCTAGTGGACTGCTTTGCCCTGATACTGTATTTGTTTTGTCGGAGTCACTTAGAGGTGGTGCATGCAGTTATTGTGACCTATAGTCAGAATAGCCAGAATTATTTGAACAAGACCCTAGTTGCCAAATACCAGAATTTCCCTTCACTTCATATGTTCTCTGTTTTGCTCTAATATCCAGTGTCCCACTACGAGGACGGCCGTCGTGGAAGCAACGAGGGCAGCACAGATCGGGACAGCCTGAGAAGCTGCACCTACTGCTGCAGGCCAGCCAGTCGCGTCTGAGCACAACCTCCCGTTGTCATGGTGACATTGTATCCCTGGAGCGCCCAGAGCCCGCCCGCCCAGTCTGGCCAGGAATGCAGAGTAGTTATCAGGCAGTGTCCACCAGAGTACATCCACAGCGAGCAGGTCACTGTAACAGTGTGGAGAAACATACTGTAAGTCATTGTCCCAAAAAAATTCAAAACATCCTGACTCAAGATACACACCTTTTTAACTTTGTTGCAGAACAGAATGCAAGGCTGCTCCGAGTCACAGTGATTTAAAGAAAGGGCCTGTTTGCATGAATATCCTAAAATAAAACCCCCTAAGATGTAGTTGTTGTTTGTGCCGCTATAGCAGACACTGGTCATTTGGAAGTGTGTACATCAGTGGTTCTGGATGTTAGTTTCAAGAAGGATCCAAGCTTCTGGAGTCTCAATCAAAGACAAGGCAGTGGCCAAAAGGCAGTCTTCTCCATTATTTTTGTCCTCACATTATCTGTCACATCTACCTCTAACCGCAATTACTGTCTGTCTACATCCATCTGGCTCACACACTCTACATTACTGGCAGCTTTCTCCAAAAGTCTGGCCAGACAGGGCACAACAAAAGGGAAACGCTTTCTCGAGGGAAACAGTGCTGAGCGCTACTCCTGCATGCATTTATACTCTTTACCCATCAATGTGACTCAGTCCAGTCACTGACCAAGTAGCTGTTTAGTTGAATAGATCTCAAGGCATGTCTTCACTGCCGATGCCACCTGCCCATTTGTTCTGTTCAATCACCCTTTTTTCTCATGTTAAGTGTTTCTGTCCTTTTTTAGGTATTTACTACTTTTGTTGAAAGCTTTTTTGGAAAGTGGAGTGTGATTCTGGGGGTTATGGACTCTATATTCTGGCTCAGACTGGGTTTGTGAAGAGTGGTTCTGACTTGGAGTGTCTGCATGCTTCTGTTGGGGAAAACATCAAACTGTATGAATATCAAAAGGAGACTTTTTTGTTTTGTTTTATGGCTGTTCTGTTATTAGAGGCTCAAACTGAGATCCCCGTAAGTCCGTATATCACAGGAATCTGACCTCCTGCCATCATGTTAGGAGGAGTTATTTTGAAGGTGTTGAGAATCCTCTGTGCGTGGGAAGAAAACGATCAGGTTCATATCGCGCTCATCCTCCCCATTCTGTTCCTGGCAAGCATCTAAATATCCGCCTGCTGTCAGTCTCTGGGTCTTATGTTGAGTCGGAGGGATCTCAGTCTGGGCGCTCCGCCTGCTCTGTGCTGTGCACCTCTAGTGGAAGAAGTTTTGGTCTACTGTTTGCATGACCTGGTTAAATATGTTTACATGAATGATGATCAATTAGTATAAACACACATGATTATTATTACTCTGTTGTATTGAAAAAATGATGTAATACTGTAATTTTGAGCTATATAATGTGAAGTGAGTAACACCAGAAGTAATGTTGTTGACAAAGTACAACACAGCACAGTGGACTTATCATTTGCATTGAGTATGATGGTCAAGTCTCTACCTGAGTGGCATTTCTCCTGTACTATGATTATTTACAACTCAAATATAATTTTTTTCAGTCTGTTTTCTTGCCGTTGCTTATGTAAAATCTCTTAAGCTATCTATCCCTGTCAAAGCAGAAGAAATACACATATCTTAATTTAACACAGGTGCCAGCCACAGTACAAAAGATTTTAAAAAATAACGGGGCTTTAAACATCACCTATCTGTCGTGGGAGAAGCCCGAGCTCTACATTTGTCCTCCTGATGAACTACAGTACTAAAGCCATACAGTGAAGTGGGGATGTTTTACTGTAGATTCAGATATGTTGTTATCCTATAAATATACAGCTCAGATAAAGGATGGCGATGTTTTTGGCAAGAGATTTAACATAGAAAAGAAAAATGAGACAAAATCATCCCTCTGACAACTGGCTGAAAACACTTTAATCCTGATATTAATCATACCATACCATTATTGATTTAAGGTATGTCATGACATAATGCCGTATCATTATTAGTTAGCTGTAGAGATAGCCAACCAACCCATTAAAAAAATGTGTTGCCCATATAAAACCGGTTCCTTCGATCTGTCATTGATACTTTCAGGTCCATAGTACAGTAAAGGCTCTGGATTTACATGACTGTAATTGTGGAAAATATGCAAACTGTGTGTGAAGGGCTTCATGTTAACTGTAAGATAGCCAATGTTGATGACTTTGATAACCTGGCTATTATTTGTTTAGTAATGACCTTATGTTGAACCTTACCTGGGATTTGTTTCCACTTGGCTGTGTTTTTTTAAAGCTTATTTTACCCATTACAAACACATCTAAATGCATAAAGAAACACGTGTATATTATATATATAAATATAAGTATATATTGTATATCCTTTTTTGTAAAAGCTGTTTTGAGCTACAAATGTATGGATGCAATGCATCATGGGTTATTGAACAAGATGTAAGAAAATACAATGATTTGTACCCACAGAGCTATGATTGCAAGAAATGAAATAAAACTTCCTTGTCTATGCATTGTGTGTTCTGTCATTATATAGTAACTTTATTATTCAGTGTGGTTTGAGGAACAGATGGATACAGGTGGTGAGCAATATGCAAAACCAGAGATTTCAAAGATACATTGAAAACAATGAACACAGGCAATGTGATGCAACCCACATAGCACCCCTCTAAACTTATGATAAATGTGTTTGTTGCCATCACTATAGATTCGTCAGTTTGTAGAGGGTTTAAAGATAAATATCAGCTTAATTCTTCTGCAATACTTGTATACTTATAATTATCATTTTATGAGATATTTATTTGTTCTATTATTTTTTATTAAAGAAGTCTTCTCCTCGGTTAAAACATATCTTTCATAATCAAATGAATATTATGTATAATATTAGTATGTTTCATCACTGAAAATGCATTCATTTATCATGAGAAAATATCATGTTGCTCAAGAATGCTTAATGTAAATACTATTAAAGGGCATACAAAGGACACAATAGTTAGTGTAATAGTAATTTTATATTGATGATAATTCTCTGTGTCAACATCAGTCACATCATTAGTGCCCTCTTAGAACCTCAGACAAAGGATTGTTGACCAGTATATTGATGACGTTAACACCTAAGATGGCTGAATAAAACAATGACGTATGAAAGGAAAACTGAATACCAAAAAACACATTGTAAAACCATGCAGTAAAACTCATTATTAAACTTACAACATAGAAAAATATGCATCTTGTTCAGTATTATGAAAACAGTAGCAAGAGCCACTGCAGACACATAAAAACATGTTACAGAATAGTAACACAACTACTGTATATATGACACATCCAGTTTACACAAAATAACTCAGCCATCTAGACTTAATGATGTTACTCAAGTGGAATCGTTTGAATAAAAAACACCAATAGTGACTTTATATCGCCTGTTGTTATTCCTAACAGTCCATTGTGTTGACTGTCAAAAAGAAAATACATGTAACATACAATCACAAATCAGAACTGTAGAACTTTTTCTCCTGCATCCACTGCAGTCCTTCTCAGTCCCTCTTTGACTCGGAGGAACTCTGGCCCCTCTAGCTGTTGTTCTTTGTCTCTCTCCAGCTGTGGGGATATTAAAACATAGTCAAATATGGAGCTCCTATGTGTTGCCACGGTAAACTATTTTCACAAGATACTTTACGAAATGGTCTTACAAAATAATTTTGAAGAGAAGAATCATTAATTATCTTTTAGTTCATATAAGTAGAGCTCTCAGAAGGCATTAATACAGGTAGTGTTTCCTGTCTGTCTTCTAGTGACTTCTGCTGTGCCGTTAACAATGTGTACACTGCCCTCCACTGGCTGACTACAGAATAACTTGATGCTTCACAGATGCCACCAATGTCAATCTTCTGTGTTGAAATACTGTCTATTTGTGCATGATACAATAAGTCATGCTCTCAGAATAGATAGACTTGATTTGTCAACCACTGTGATGATTTGTCAGTAAAGTATATTTGTGTAAAATGTCCAATAGAGTCCAATGCAAACCTTTTCTAGCCTCTGTTGTCTTTTCAGCAGCTCTTGATGAAGTGGTGATTGCTCTTCCTGATCCCCGCTCGCCTTCATCCTTTGTTCCCATTTTCTCTTTTCTAAAGCCCTCTGGAGTTCACTCTTTCCTTCTTGCGACACTCTCCTGACAGAAACACAAAAGTACTTTATGATTTATAAGTAAAATGAAACCGAACTGTGAATGTTTACAACTCTCTCTCTCTCTCTCTCTCTCTCTCTCTCTCTCTCTCTCTCTCTCTGTGTGTGTGTGTGTGTGTGTGTGTGTGTGTGTGTGTGTGTGTGTGTGTGTGTGTGTGTGTGTGAGAGAGAAACCTCTTATGGCTCAGCCGCAGTTCTCTGTGGAGCTCCTGGTGGCTCTTGGAGGCCGTTAAAGGATTGAGAGGTTTTTGGGGTCTGATGAGATTTCGGCTGTCCTCTTCACCCTGTACTGTCGGAGCCTGAAGCTCTGAGTATCGTTCTTGCTGTTCAGTTTGGTGTGTCTGCATTGCTGAGGCTGAAAATGAAAACATACCAACTTACAGCGAATATGTTTTTTATTTAAAGGAGAAAAAAAGTAATTTAATCAAAGTGCTATTATGATGTTAAGTCAGTTTCTTATGTTTCAGCTACACATGATCAAGGTTGTGTGGTATGTTTCACATGTAATTTACACAAGTGTGTAAGTATTAAGCTCATTTTTGAGGTTGAGTAAGACTTGTCAAGGGATTGTAAAAAATAGACTGAGAGAGCACTGAACAAAGGGTATACACTTATTATCTTATCAGTCCGTTTATAATAAGACTTCTAGAGAGTTTACTTTGTCTGTCCTTCCAATTTAAAACTTTATGTCCACGCTGGATATCAATAAGTCTACAAACCTGCAGCATATTCAACTGTAGATGCTCATTCTAGTCTCTCTATTCACACACAGAGCAGCCATCGTGTCTACTAAATGCTAAGGCTAACAGTAGTACAAGAAGAGAAGCAATGTCTGTCAAAAGCTTACATTAGCAAACATTAGCCACCAAAAGCTAAGGCTGTAGCAACAAAACCCCTGAGGCCATTGACATGAACGAGGGAGTGTTTGGTTGCTTATGGATTTGTCTAGTCACTTGCAAAAGGAAGACTGTGCTATTTCTTCTTTCAAAGTTAAACACTTCTTGCTTTAAAACTTATTTTACAAGCCTGAATGTTGAATGTCACAAGGCAAATTGTTTATTGACAGCAACATAACAGTTCATTGACTTTACAAATTGTGGCTCACCCTTTTACTGTTTAATGACAGCCAGAATCAATAGAGTGAGCACCTATGCTTTATAGCACAGATTCACAGGGATCCAGCCATATTCCTGCTACTTCTTCACTGTTTCTTCCCTTAGTCACACAAACAGGCCAGAAGAGGCTTACATAATAATAAGAATGATAATAATCAATTGTATGGATGCCAGTGGCAGCAAGAGGTTCCTGGGAGGTATCAGATGAATAAATATAGATACTAATTTTACAGTCAAAATAATATTCCTCCTTGGTCAACAGTGAAAACATCAGCAATATCACACAGAATATTTTTAGATTTCTCACCAGACCCGTTCAGGTGTGTTTTGCTTCTGCTGGGAAAATGTTGCACATCTCTCTGTCAACAGAAAAAGCCAATGACACGTCAGACAGAATAAAATATATCTCATAGTTATTACAATCTTATCCCTAAGATATAGTGAATTAGGAAGTGTGGAAAGTAAAAAGAAAAAGTGCAGTAAATGCATAGTCTGACCCATGATAACACTCCAAATAGATAGAAATCTCCCAGTCAGTTTCATGCAAATGGAGCGTTGTGAGCAACACAAAGCTGTATTATGATGCTGACAGATAAATTAAGTGTCAGCTCCTAGTTCCACATGTCCAGTGAAGCGAGTGCCCTTACTGGGGAGGTGGAGCGCTGCCACCTCATTAATGACAGGATCAAACAAAACACAGTCTGATTCCCACTGAGTTACTCATTTGCTGGAGTTTGAGCAGAATTAATGGTCGAGACAAGAGCTATGCCCCTGTGGTATTCAGACTGGACTGCTGAATAAAGTGATTCTTTCTGTTGTTGTTGAAATGCTTGATCAGTATTTGATGTGTCAGACTATACTTTTAGCCCTGAACATGGTCTACTTCATCATCAAGCAATGTACATGTTATGTAATGTTTCCCTTTGGCGTCAGTTGTAATTTAGCTGCACTGAGTCTTGGCATCTACACACACAAACAATATAGAGAAGCACTGTTAAATGTGTTAAAAAAAAAAAAAAACCTGCAGCCAATATTCAAATAAAGTCGTTAAAACGAGTTTCCAGTGAATTTTCAGAATGAGGAAAAAGTGAAATCCAAATGAGGCATTTTAATGACAAATCTGCTGCTGGCTGCTGTTTGGTTGATGGGAGTATAGTCATGCTGTTTGGCTGAATCTCCGACAGTGGGTATTGTGTGGAGAAGAATTAATAGGACATGACGGGATAAACACTCTCCAAGGCCAACTCTCCAGCGTTGGCAAGGTTCTTTATTATTGGATAAAGACCTGTGTTTGGTGCAAGAACTCACTGTCTCTGGGAAATAAAAGGTAGAGACAATAATAACAGACAAACCACACAAAAGCTATAAAGTTCTGCAAAATAAAAGCTTAAATGTGATGACGAATACACAAGTAATACTGTGTGTAGCCTTTATTATGAAATGTGTAAGTAAGACTGGGTTTTTCATTATCTTTAATCTCCTTAAATACACAGTGCATGCCAAGAAAGTATTTTTCACATGACGAGTACTGATACCAAAGTAAAGTAAGTATAAAAAATTACAAACTTACCTTCTTTCCATGCGTGACTCCCATATCCTCACTGTCAGAGTCCAGATTTTGTTTCTTCACAAACACCTCCTGGGCTCACAGCGAGTTTCAATAACAAATTGAGGTCTTTCTCTCTCTCTCTCTCTCTCTCTCTCTCTCTCTCTCTCTCTCTCTCTCTCTCTCTCCACCAGAGAGAAACTTCTGTGTGTTTGGACCAATGATGATGCTCCCGGGGAAGCAGCAACCAAGTGTAAGATAAACCCTGAAGAACAGGCCAAAAGGGCTGGAAGGATATTTATTACACAGCAGTGGTGGGAAGCTAATGAGGACATTAACGGTACTTAAATAGAATTCCAAAGCACTTGTACTCAGTCTTTTAGCATATCTTTTTTTTCCACTGCATTTCAGAGGAAGAAAACGGTTATAGTTAGTTTTCACCAGAAATAGACTTCTCGCCCTTTATTTGGCCCCTGCCCCTCAAATGGCATGAGTCTGCCACTGCATCTGTACTTTTATTTAAGTCTGAGTTCTAATGCAGTTTTACTTTTAAATGAGAATTTTTACACTGTTGCATTGGTACTTTTAAGTAAGTAAATCCACCAGTACATCCACCACTGACGTAGGAGGAGAAACGGAAGTAGTACACACATAAATACATGAATAGAAATAATGAGAAGGAAAGAAAACTTGCTTCCATGTTAAGAAAAAAAAAGAGAAATATGATATTAAAGAGGGAACTATACAGATCACATAAATTTGAATAATAAATGACCCCCTTTCCTCCAGGAATCAGAACAAATGATGTTCATTTATCTCAGAGGGACAAAACTGCCTGCATATTAAAGTACACTAGTCAAGTGTATTTTATTTATATAGCCCAGAATCACAGATGACAAACTTGCCTCAGATAGCTTCACAATCTGTACAAAATGTGACACCTGCTATCCTTTGACTTCGATTCCAGATGAGGAAAAACTCAAGGAAACTCCAAGAAGAGCAACAAAGGAGGAATCCCTCTTCTTACTGAGCCCAGTAAGTTAGGTTTTGAGTTTCAAGGGGTGTAAAAACCACTTGGAGGGGCATCATTTGTACATGGACATTTAATGGTCTTGAAAGATCATTAAAAGATAATAATTTTCTCCTTTTGATCACAATAGTCCTTTAAGGTTTATTTCCGTCGGTTTGGTTCCTAGGGAAGCATCCACCCACCTCCACAGTCTCCGGCCATTCTTCGTAAATGTTGGTTTCCTTATTATTAACAGCTTTCTGACATGTGAACAGGGAAGAAGACATTTGTTTTGCCATCAATTATGTTTTTTTACTTTTTGCATATTCTAAAATACTAGATGGTTCTGACACAAATAGAACAAAATGAATGCAGTGGAGAGGGTCACTTACCTTCTCAAAGGGGCTTTTGTTTCCTGTCCCTGCTCTTCCAGCAAACACCCAGTTGTCTCTGACTTTTACTGACTTGATCAAAGAGCTTCCCATTCCAACAAATATCTCCCTCATTTCCTTTGTCATTCTGCCACAGAGTAGAAGAAAAGGGTCATGCTGTGCGATATGAAATCATTTTAGCTGTTTAATCATTGAGATTTAGGCTTACTTTGCTGTCACATCATCAAACGAGGCCACCAAAACAATCATTCCAGATTTGATCTCCTTCAGGAATGCCAGGATGTCTTCTTTGTCTTTTGTTAGAGTCATTAAAAAAAGCAGATCATTTTAAGGTTTCAATAAACTTGGAAACTGAAAACAGAATTAAAAGATTTTTAAAAACGCCTCTTACGTCCAATTTTCATATTAAGAAAGCCAGATTTTTCCACATCTCCATTTTCACCTGAAATAAAAAACAACATCATTAATAAGTGATTATTATTATTAATAACCCATTTCCAGGTCTAGATAACAGCAGTTCTGGAGCTTTTGATAATATCACATGAGATTCATCAGCAGATGGAGTTTACCCAGTTGTCATTAAATTGTAGATCGTCTTTCTTTTTTACGGAAGCTCAACTAATTAGTAAACCAAGCCAAGATTGTTTTATCAACTGATATTTCCAAGTTCAAAAATTAAATTTGAAACAATTTTATTAGACATTTTAAGCTTTTTTAAGAAAGGGCATTACAAGTTTAAATTATTCATCATAAGTGTTTCATAGTTCAGTTTACAAATCCAACAGTATGCAAACACTAGTACAATATAAACAGAGTATTTTACTCACCGTTTACCACCACAATGTTCAGTCCTGGACCCACATTATTCAACAGGTGGGCCATAATACTGTTGAGATAGCAATAAGGTTTAGTTTCACTGCAGAGGAACTATTTTGTCAAACAATCAGATTCTACCATGTTAAACACGTACATTTTACCATTGAAACAGATCTTTGGTCCGACAACATTAGCTGCTCCACTCCTGATATGTATAGCAAAATGGTCGGGTGGGCAGACTCTGGAGAGGCCGCATTTTGGCACGGACTCTTGCAAGGACATGGTAAATGTATCTGTTTTGAGTTCTGGTTTGATTTGATCTAGGTGACTAAACCCTGAAATAAAAGAAAGGAGATAGCATTTATGGCAAATAAAACTATGGATGAAAAGACGTAGCTGAGGATTTAGATTGTAATAAGCAGAAATGAGCTCACCAAGAATGTGTTTTGTTTTCTCCTGTACATCAAATACATTGATGGAGATCCCCCATGTAATTAGGGAGACAACGATTATGGCACCAAAGTGCAAAATAGCTGTGAATCACAAAGACTAGATAGATGAAGATCTGCAGACATACAACCAAAACCATTTTTTAAAAATAAATAAAGTAAAAGCTCACCTCGATATCTCATATCTGCAATAAATCTGAGACTTTCTGTTCCTAAAGGGAAGAGCTGAGGCCTTTGAAATGTACTTCAAGTACTTCCTGTCAAAAAGAAAAGAAAGATACAGCAGAGCTTTGGTGTCATCTCATCTGTGAACACGCTCCCTGATAATTCCTACAACCATGGCTTGTGCGAGAGGTGTTTGGATATGCAAAAAGAAGTGTCGGCCCTCCTCCTCCTTGCTACACAAAAAACCAGGATGTGGCATTATATATATACACACACACACACACACCCAATGAACTAGATGATCAAGTTTCTCTCTTTTACAATGTCAAACTGGGAGAGTGCCCACCAGTAATAGATACTGTTTGTAGGGAACAATGTGGTCTGCAAACAGCAGATTGTGCTTAGCTGGTGTGCAAACAAGCATTTGAAACCTGGAGAAGAAATGATACAAAAAGGGGGAAAAAAAGGCCAAAAGCTTCATATTTCAAATTGAATGAGTAAAGGAAAGAAAATAGGTTTAAAAAGATCAGTGTCATTTATCAGACTTCTCTATTTGCATGTGGATTTTAGTAATCCCTTTTGATGTGTGGATAAAACTGATGAAAAATAATTGCTACAGACCATTTAATAAAAAACCTAAAAAAAAAAGAAAAACCTCACTAGAAGCAAATAACTATGAAAAGAGCACAAGCACAAAATCTGGTAAGAAAATAAAAATGCAATTATGTTAGATGAGAAATTAATTTACAAAACCACATTTCACCTGCAGGTAAAGGTTACTGAGATTAAAACTTGTTTTTCAAAGGAAACCGGGCGAAGAGGGAGTGCAAAAACTGGAGTTATCACAATAAAGACAACATACAGGCCAATAGTCTGTGTTTTTGTCAGGACATAAAGCATTAAAGTCCATATTTGTGATGGATGGGCAACTCTGAATTAGTTGTTATTTACATATAAATGGTGACAGGCATGATAATCCCTTTAAGCAGAGGTCAAGCCCTTGTCCTCAGTAGGCATGTGACGATCCTTAAACAGTAGCTCTTATCTTCCTATCCAAACAAAAATGTCTCTACAGGCAGTAAAGAACTGGTATTATGATTGTTATTAAAGTTACTGTGGCCAAACCATAATACATAATGATAATTTTATCCATCAATAAACAGTAGAGTAGCTGATGAAAGAATTAAAGCTTCTACATGGCTATATTTTGAAAAATGAACCACATACAGACGGGTGACAAATTACAGGAAGAACCAGCACAAAATCCATCAAATAGTTGGAAGGCTGCCACGAGCCTCCAGAAGAGCTTCAGTGCTCCTTGGCTTTAATGTGTCACCCATTTATATCACATGAAATTCAATGTATAGAAGTGAATGAAATTACCCCAAACTAATTGACACACAGTGAACATAGGGCCTTTTCAGCAGCCCACTTTGCCTGGTCAGTAATCCAATAACTCTGAGAGAATTAAGAAGAACACTTGAAAGCTTGTTTAATATTTATAATAAGTGTGTTCGCAAACATTAGTCTGGGTCACACGTTTAATATTGTTTTCTTGCACTGGCTGTATCTAAATTACTGGTACAGACTTTCAACGTCATCACTGTGAATGAGAATTGGTTCTCAATTGATTGAGCTTGTTAAATAAATGTGAAATAAATAAAATTAAAATCATTTAGATGTTGCTAAGATACAGTAAATGCCATGAAAAATGTTTCTGACACCTGAAAGTTATTGTAATGAAATGTCAAAAAGCATTAAAAGACACACTAGAGGTACCCCATGGTGCAGTACAGGTTATAGGTCTTCCAGTTTATTTGTCTCTGTAGTTCCTGACTTCCCTCTTTGCTAAAGTAATGATATATATATATATATATATATATATATATATATATATATATATATATATATATATACACATATATATATTAACAGAAGGCTGTTACATATAAAGGGATTTACATTATAACAACACGTTTATAGTGTAATACTAAAGAGAACCAGTAGATGGTCTATGTGTACTACTTTGTACTGATCTGAGGGAACATTGTGCATCCAGAGAATCAAGACTGGATAACATTGTAGGAATAAAATATCCATGTTTGTTGCTTTTTTGGTAAACAATCACAGCTTATTTAAAATGGGCAACCTTGGGAAGTCAGCAGTTCAAACAATATAAAATATGTATTTTCTAACAAAGCAAAGATGCTCTTCAGATAAGACAGAACGAGTAAATTATGCAGGTCATGAGTTGAATCTGAGCAGGTGGCAAACACAACAGCCAGTCCACAGGAGGAATATATTTAATAAAGAACATATGTATTTCTCAAATATACACCAGAATATACAGCGATAACACAGGAGTCAACATTAACATCATACCATCATCAGTAACTGTAGAGAAAACCCTTTCATCAGATGTAAAATGTGCAATAATACCAGAACTACTCATAAAACACGTGGAGACCGATGACAACAGATTGATTCCATTGCTTAATTTGTTGGCCATACAAACACTAATTAAAAGAGAAAGCATGGTGAAAGCTGTGACCAGCATCCTGTCACATTAATGTTCACATAATAATGTTCCCTGGGAGATGCAGTTGCTGGGTGTTTTTTTCTTCTTCTTTGTGGCAAATGTAGCTGTCAGAAGATATCATGCAACATCACTCAGCCTAGAAGTCCATTAAAGAGTCTGTGGACAGCAAATTAACTTGAAGTGGGTTAATGTTAGCATGAAAAGGGAAATACATTTCAAAGGAAACTGGCCAACTGGTAGATAGCTGCAGTCTTAGTGTGACTATTTTTAGCTGCAAGTCAATCAAGGTGTTTTAAATCATCAGAAATGTCATATTCCGTGTGTTGCTTTGTGGAAATTGTGCTTATTTTACAACAGCTGGATAATATTGTGCATTCTCTGACTTATTCAGACAGATACTGAATGAATGTATAAATTCTTTATAATGCAACAACTCCCAATACCTGCATTAATGAAATAATTCTACAGTGAAAGGTTTTGTTACATTCCTATTTATTATCTTGTTTCTGTTAAATTATTACCTTGAAACCACTTTCTTTCTACAGGTTTTTATCTCCATTCGTCAATATCATGTGTATAATACAATACATACAACTAGATTCTGGGCATTTAATCATGCCCGAATTAATCATACATTTTTATTCTCAAATTAGTTGACAGTATTTTATAAAATTAGTGAAAACAAGAAGAATCTGAGCGGTGGAGTGTTGATTCTCAGTTGGATCAGCAGCAGTAGCCACCTTTTCACATAGCTAGAAGTATTTTGATCAAAGACGTAGGTCAGAATATTTATATCAGTCTAGAAATTAATAAATTATTGTACGATTTTCTTATGCTTTCAAAATTAATGATAGTATAATAACCATGTAGACATACTGTGTAAATTACTGTATTTTAGTACACTAACTCTACTTAAAAGTTTAGCTGTGATGACATTTTATGATCAATAAATATTTTACGTGCAATACTTGATTGTGCTATCTTGTTAGGAGAATACTGATTGTGAAAAATATAGATTAAATGGTTCTTTTACCTGAAAAACATGCAGAGGAGTTTGCAATATTTTATTCAGCCCTGAGTAGTGCCTGCAGGTACAACCCTGCCCCTACGAGTGGGTCAAGGAGTAGCTTGTATGTAGCCTGAGGGGTGAAACTCAGTGCAAATAAAGTCCCAAATTATTGCTGTGAGCTCAACATATCAATATGTTTATCACCTCCTCTTTTCTCACATCTGGGTTTCAACAGCTGGACAGTAAGACAAGCTTTAAAGAATCTGGTAAAACATCAGATTAAACTCAATACTTCACATTAAACATAAAGAAATAACACTCAATTCAAGCCAGATAATGAATACAAACCCAGTAACATAAACTACACGACAGCTGTAACTCATTGATAACCTGATTAGTCAGTCCACAAAAAATAATATCAGCAAGTATTTTGATACTCGATTACTAATTGAGGTTATTGTTCAAAAAAATATGCCAAACATTTGATGGTTCCAGCTTCTCAAATGTGAGAATGTGTTGCTTTTTCCTGTTTTAAATTATATCAAATTGAATATTCGGGAGTTTTGGACTCCCAAATGGTGATGAAGTCACCATGGGCTGCAGGAAATTGTGATTTTCTTTCTTTACCACTTTCCTCGGCCATGTGCACCAAATGATTCATCAATAATTGAAAAAAATATTCTGAAGATTAATCAATACTGAAAATAACCATTAAACAATCCATCCACAAAAGAACCCTCTTTTTTTCAGGTTGGCCGAGCAGCCTCCCAGTCTGCGATTTACTCCAGAAGATCCTGTCACAAGGAAAAAAAAAAGTTACAAATGACATGTGATGTGATGAGGAAGGTTAGAGCTGTGTCAACTTGTGCTGTGGGACGGATGACTGTGAAAGCCACAATCAGGGAAAGCCACGATGCACTGACCTCGTCTGACTCCTCTCCCACTGTGCAGGGCCCCCTGTCGCCATCCTCCTCTCTCACTGCTGAACCCTGATCCTCCATCCGCCTCAGCACTGAGTATCTGTATGTCGCCTCGCTGAAATAAAGTGATGTGACAGACCAGGGAGATGTGTCTTTACTGCACAAAGAATTTTAAATAACGCTGTTATGGCTCGTTAATAAAGTTAGCTTACTTGACAGGGAAGCAGTATTTTCGGATGATCAATACAGCAGCAACGATTGCTGCCACAGAGACGAAGATCACAGACGCAATAATCCCAGGGTGGAGCCTTAACCTGGCCTAAAAAGACAAATGAATCCAATAAGATCTTACAGTGGGGTAGTTAAGGAGCCCATAAACCTAACAGCTCAATTCATGATGTGTGGCTCAGATAAAAAGGAAATACGGGGCGGGAGATATGACAGCTGAACAGCGGTGTATTATGGATCACGCCGGTGTACAACCCAAAAGCTCAACAGCAGGGGTGTGAATCCCTGGGCCAAGCAGGGAAAGTGATGCATTTTTGACAATAAATGATAACTCCCATCAGAAGTGGAATCACTACATCTTTAAAGCCAGAGCTATGCATAAGATCATAGGTAATGTTTGGAGTGCAGTATGACAACATTAAGTCTTTGTAGTGATATTTAGGATTCACATGGATTATGAAACATAAAAAATAGTTAAAAATCCAGC